GTGTTATATTTCAGCAGCCACACCTGAGTGAGGGCAGTCCTGAAACATTCTAATTAGCCCAGGGTTTACACTGGATCTATACAAATCTTATTCAGCTTTTTAAGAGCAGAAAACGAAATTTAAAAAGGCCTCAAATAGAACATTGAAATCAATGAGCCTGGCTGGAGAGAAAATAAGAAGACACAGGGGTTACGGAGTACCGTTAAGGTATACACCTACTGTCAAGCCAAAATTACATTCAGGGTGAACTCATGTAAATGCTAATTGGCCTGTACTCTTGCTTCAGGTTTTTAGCATGTGGGTAATTCCTGACATGCAGTCACACCACACATCTTTCTTTCTTTCTCTAGAAAGCTGCTCAGACACACTAAATGAGCTCCTTCTGATGATTTACTTGAGCCAATTAGCCAGACTGTGAAAGAAAGCATGAAGTTAGTGCTTTATTGCCCATCCACCCATTTTCTAGCTATTTTATCCAGTACAGAGTTGTGGGGAAACTGGAGTCTAACCTAGTGAGGAATAGGGCAGGGCAGGGCACACCATGGGTGGGACACCTGTCCAGGTCGGAGAGACATTGCACACCCTCCTCACACTAGGGACACTTTTCCCAGAAGCCAACAACCTTACCAGCATGACTTTGGACTGTGGGAGGAAACCGAAACACCTGAAGGAAACTCACGCAAACATGAGCAGAACATGCGAACTCCATGCAGATAGCACCCCAGGTCCAGAGACCCCAGGACTCCAGTGCTGTGAGGCACACTGCTAACCACTCTCATGTCCCGGCCCCCAGGTGGAGAAGCTGCAGGACGAGATCGAGAAGCTGAGCAGGTGCCTGTCGCCAGCGTCCTCCCTGTCCGAGCAGGACAGCGTGGATCTGGACAGCATGTTGGAGGAGGAGGAGCAGGAGAGCCCCAGGGGGAAGCTGAGGTTCTCCCTCTTCTATGACAGGGAGCTGTCCCGGCTCCTGGTGACCGTGCTGGGCGCCTGCGAGCTGCCGGCCCGGGACTTCAGCCAGAGCGTGGACCCCTTTGTCAGGGTGCGGGTGCTGGCAGGCCCCCTGTCAGAGCAGACCGGCCTGCACTGCACCCTCCACGAGTGGGAGACCAGGCTGGTGAAGAAGAGCAGGAACCCCTCGTTTGGGGACCAGTTCTCCTGCTCGCTGACCGAGGAGGAGGTCCCCAACATCACGATCAAGCTGGAGGCATGTATCTCGAGCTGAAACCAATCAGCATGTCATGTATCAGTGAACCGCTGCAGTTTTTCAGGCTCCGCTAATACTGTACTTTAGCCTCTAATGTAGTTTTAAGGAAATGTCTTCGGTTCAGTTGTTTTTAATTCTGGTAAAGCAGAACACTACCAAATTAGTACAGTTATGATTAGGACACTTCACCATACTACTATGGATTTTTCATAATTTTTTCAAGTGTGATCAATATTTATAAGAATATGCAGTATGAATATAGCCCTTTGTTCTATTTATATTTAAGAAAGCAAATAGGAAAAATGTTTCAATATACAATGTGGATTTTTAGATTACTGACAACTGCAATGAGGATATGCCCAGATGCTTAGTTCCTGATGGTGTCACACTCTCATTGTCCTGTTTGAGCCATATCATTTCCAAGTAACTTCTAAAATCTCTCTTGTAGGAAGGCCAGGTCCCCAAATCCCTATCTGACTGCTTCTTTTCACTGCTTTACAACGTGAAACAAGCTTCTAAAAATCAAAAAGTTATAACTGAATTCCAGAGCGGACCCATAGTAGGTCATTGAACTTTGCTGACTCAGTGCTTAAGTATGTCTGTAGCTTCACCCTCTCATTTCTCAAAAGACCACCGCTATACAGCCAAAAATCATTCTGTAAACGGACATAAAGGCTCATTTTTGAGGTGTAATTGCAGATGAAGGTTACAGACAAGATCTCATGTTCTTCACTTGGTTGTTAGCTGCCTGTCAACCCAGAACCTCATTTCTCAAGAATCATTTCTTGTCAAATGTCAAATGACATGGCTGGGTAGTTTTGTTACAAACACTAGAGACTGTGAAAACGAGCGCCTTATATTTTCAATCTGTATGGATACTTGCAAGTTGTATGTGTAGTGTTTTTTCCTAAATAATCAGTTAAAATGCCTGTTGTGCCCGTGACAGTTCGAATGTCAGTAGGACATTCTTTCCAACTACTTGCAACATCCATCAGAGACTCTATCATTAAAAATTGGCTCCCTCTAGTGGAATGTTTGTTAAAGTAGCTCATTCACTTAATCAGCCACAGATTATACAAAATTTAATGTTGATTTTGAAGTTATTTTCTTCATGTGTGATTGGGGTTCAGTTCATTCTTGAGTACAATGCCTCATTGGAAACATTTTTCACAGGTCAGAGATTTTGATAAATATTCCAGACATGCTGCTCTTGGAGAAGTCAGGACATCTTTGACAAGTTCGAACATTTACTACCCTGTGGAGACCCTGGACGACTTACAGGCTGTAAAGAAGGTGGGAGATCCTACCATGTTGTTTTCTTTTCATGGGTCTTCTAACAGATTCACCAAGGACTCCCTCACCTCTGCTACTCAAACTCAGTTCTCTGGGACATCACCTACTGAAAAAACTATCAATACCACAGCAAGCCTCTCGCTCAAATTCATCTTTCTGCTTCGCTCCTCCACTCCCCTTGGTCAATGTATCTACCTGTATGGGGATTGATACAGCCAGGGGGTCAGCACTCAGCTAAGGAGTATTCAAACAAGGTTTCACGCACCCTTGACTCCTCAATGAACACTCCTGAATGCATTTTCTTATTGAATGATGTCATTCCTTGTGAATTGTTAACCAACCTGACTGTTACTTTAATGCTTTAGTGGGGAGTCTCAGTTTTCTACTGTATTTTACAAGACATAAGTAAAGGCTACCACACAACACACTGAGAGGTTTCTAGAGTACTAAGAACTGAAAATAGTAATAGTCATTTCAGTTACAACTGAATGTAAAAAGTTTATTTGTAAGCCAAGTATGTGTCTTTGTAGAAAACATATCTTGTGGAGCCGAGTCCCAGCACCTGCCCCCAGTGTATAAACCACTGCTAAATACATTCGCATCTATATTCTGGGTTTTCACATGCAAAGGTTTATAAACTACAAGAGAATTTTAATATATAATTTAAGCTGTCTGAACGACTTGGGCTCTGGCTGCAGATTCAGATGTATTATTCATAAATATGCATGATGAAAAAGATTAGGACTAAGGTTGCAGGAAGATTTCAGAAAACAAATGTCTTCATAGTAAAGTGTTTTACCTCCATTTGAAGCAGATCCTAAAGACTCTCCCCCCTTGCCTGGCAGGTGATTCGTTCTCCTGATGACTAATTCTTATTTGCATTTTCAAGTGACTTCTTTCACCGCACTTTTCATTTGCACTTTCATCCGTTTGAAATTGCAGGACTTGGTGGG